GAAGGATAGAGACACACCCAGATGCTGGGGATTCCTTAATCCCCCAACACACTGAGAATATCCCATCCTCGAGAGTTTCCACCTAGACCCCTTGAAGAAAGGGAGGGGCTTAGAGAGCCCCACCTTGTCATGTGCCATCAAGGACATACACCTAGACAAAAAAGAAAATGAATTGTGAAAAGACCTAGAATTAGGAAACCACAAAAGGAGAGAATACTCAGCATGTCCCAAGTTAAAAGAACTGAAGAAAAAATTCAAGCCTAGAGTTGCAACATTGAAACATTCCGGGTAAAATATTGAACCTTGTAGGAAACATCAAAAGATGCCATGACAAATTAGAATGAGTATATTTTCGTGCAAAAAAAAGGTCTTGGATCCTATGCAAACTTTGTTATCTTACACATTTCTGTCATGGCCTTACTGAAGACACCTTGTATGAAGCCCTGTACTTTGTTGTTGGGGGCCATCGAGTTGGCCCTAACCCATAGCAGCCTTATGCACCACAGAAGGAAACACTGCCCAGCCCTGGCTCGAGTTCATTGCTGCAGCCACTGACCGGGTCAATCCCCCTTGTTCAGGGCCGTCCTCTTTTTTGCGGCCCCTCTATTTTACAAATCAGGATGTCCTTCCTGGGGGACTGGTCTCTCCTGACAACATGTTCAAAGTACGTCAGACGAGGTCTCACCATCCCTGCCTCTAAGGAGCACGACGGCAGTACTTCTTCCAAGGCAGACTCGCTTTCCCTTTTGGCAGTGCATGGAACTTTCCAGATTCTTCACCAGCGCCATAATTCAGATGCATCGATTTTTCAGTCTTCCTGATTCAGTGTCTAATTTTCACACGCATAAGAGATGATTGCAAATACCATGACTGGCGGCAGGTGCACCTTATTCCTCAGTAATCTCTGTGCCTATCAACACTCTGAAGAGGTCTTGTGAAGCAGATTTACCAAATGCAACTTGTCTTTTGCTCTCTTGACTGCTGCTTTCACGAGCATTGATTGTGGATCCAAGCAAGAGAACATCCTCGACAACTTTAATCTTTTCTCTGTTTATTATGATGTCACTTATTGGTCCCGGTTGGAGGAGTTGGATCTTCTTTACATGGAGTTGAACTTCATCCTGAAGACTGTCATCTTCACTTGAACAAGTGTTTGAAGTCCTCCTCACTTTCAGCAGCAAGGTTGTGCCATCTGCATATCACAGGTTGTTACTAAGCCTTCCTCCAATCCCGATGCACGTGCTCCTTCATATAATCCAGCTTCTCTGATACTGACTCAGCACACAGATTGAACAAGTATGGTGGGAGCATAGAACCCCGGCACACACCTTTTCTGATTTCAACCATGCCGTGTCCCCATGTTCTGTCCGCACAGCTGCCTCTTGACACATGTTGTACAGGTTCTGCAGGAGCACCATGAAGTGCTCCATTCTTCTCAAGAAGATCCATTTTTGTTTTGATCCACACAGTTGAATGCCTTGCCATAGTCAATAAAACACAAGTAAACATCATTCTGGTGTTCTCTGCTTGCAGCCACAATCCATCTGCATCTGACGGCAGCGATGACATCCCTTGTATCCACATCCCTTGAATTTGGCCTGAAGCTCTGGCAGCTCCCTGTCAATGTACTGCTGAGACCATTGTTGGATGCTTTTCAGCAAAACTGCACTTGCGTGCGATATCAAGTGCACTGTTCTAGTTTGAGCACTCTGTTGGGTCACCTTTCTTTGGAATGGGCACAAATACAGATCTCTTCCAGCCAGTTGGCCAAGCTACTAGGCCCTGTGCTAGACACTGAGAATGAAGCCTTTGGAAAGACCAGACAGACCAGAAATGGTGATAATGTACAACTAAAGTTTAAGGAGGAGCCTGCCGGCGCAGTGGTTAAGTGTTTGGCTGCTAACCTAGAGTTTGGGCCTCCTCGCTGCTCTGTGGGATAAAGCTGTGACATGAACATTGTTGTTGTCATTAGGTGCCAGCAAGTTGATTCAACCCATAGCAACCTTCCACACAATAGAACGGAACCCTGCCCTGTCCTGCATCTTCCTGACAATCGTCTTGTGCTTGAGCCGTTGCTGCAGCCAAAGTGTAGATCCATCTCCTGGGAGGCTCCAGTTGTTGACCGCCCCTTTACTGTAAAGATGGTGTCCTGGGAAACCGGTGGGCAGTTCTCCTCTGTTCTATGAGTGGGAATTACCTTGAGGACTGGGGTTTGGTTTGGGTTTAAGGTTTAATGGAGGAAGTGGGAAATTGTCTAGGAGCTATAACAAAACAAGTAGACCTGAACACACCTCTGTCCTGAAGAAATAGCATTTTGATCGAGCAAGGAAAATTGAGTCAGTGAGAGCCAGTTTCAGGGAGAGAATATGGAGCGCTCCTGGTCTAGTAAATTTCACTCACCCCATTGAGTCCGAATCAACTCACTGTGATCCTACAGAGCAGGGTAACACTGCCCCTGGGGGTTTCTGACACCTTAACTCTTCACAGGAGTAGAAAGCTTCATCTTTCTCCCATACAGCAAACACAGGGTAGTTTCAAACTGCTAACCTTGGGGTTATCAGCCCAATGCATTGTCCACTGAGATGAATTTCATAGGCAACACCTGAAAGTGACAGAGAATAACATGTTGGAAAATCAGGGAGAGAAAAGTTCAGCCTGGCAGGCGGGTTGGAGGGGGGTGGGAGGATATAAGGGAATGTGGCCAAAGGTGAAGACGGGGTTGGATTGTGTGGGCAGAGGCTAAAGTGCTAAGGAATTTGGACTTTATCTGGAGGGCAAGAGGAGACAGCTTGGTGGAGAACAACATCTTGCAAAACATAGGGTTCTGAGAACAAACTTACGGAAACTGCTGGAAAGGATGGCACACGGCCTGGGAACTACAGTACTGCTTTAATCCTCTCCTTCGTATTCCTTGCCCCAGTGCTTAGACCTCCTCTGACAGTGAACTGCAACTCCCTCAATGTCAGGCCATGAATCTCAGCATCCCCAGCCCACTTCGTGTGGTCAGGCGCTCCTGAGCCAGGGACCATCCATGAGAGAGTCCTCTGTTCTCCAGATGAACCAACTCAGGCCCAGAGGAGAAAGGTAACTGTTCCGGGGTCCCCTAGCAAGTCACTAGCAGAGCCGGGAGTAGCACCTCAAGCCTCTGACTCCTTCTTGTCTCTCCCAAAGAATCTGAACACCAGTCGATGCAGAGTGAGACAAGCATGACCCACAGGACAGGGACTTCTAGATAACTCCTTGATATCCCCCATGGGGCTAGTGTAACCTTCACATACATCCTGAGGGTGACTAGATGCCTTGTAAGAAGCTCTAGTGCAGGGGTCCTCAAACTTTTTAAACAGGGGGCCAGTTCACTGTCCCTCAGACCCGTTGGAGGGCCGGACTATAGTTTGAGAATGATGTACAAATGCGCTTTACACAATTGATGTGTGTATGGATTGCGTTAACAGTTGTATGAGCCCCTAATAAATAGTTTGAAAAAAAAAAAAAACTATGAACAAATTCCTCTGCACACTGCACATATCTTATTTTGAAGTAAAAAAACAAATGGGGCAAAAACACTGGGCAGGCAGGATAAATGTCCTCGGTGGGCCGCATGTGGCCTGCGGGCCATAGTTTGAGGACTCCTGCTCTAGTGGCTTAGTGGGTAACATATTGGGCTGCTAACCAGAAGGTCTCAAGTTTAAGCCCACCCGCAGCCCTCTGGGAAAGAGAGGAGGCTTTCTGATCCTGATAAGATTCATAGCCTTGGAAACACAAAGGGGCAGTTCTACTCCGACCTGTAGGGTCACTATGAGTTAGAATTGACTCGATGGCAGTAAGGCTTTGTTCTGATTTTGAGACGTCTTTTATGCCAGTGAACAGTGAGTTTCTGACAAACTGGTGCTTACCCCGATATCTGTGTCCTGGGGTAAATATAACCCTCAGAAAACGATAGAACTAAGCAGAAAGGTCCTTAGACTGGAGTTTAGAGACCTGGGTTCTGGCCCCCGCTCTGTCACTGCCTTGCTCTAGTTCCCCATCTGCAGGCTTCTGTGACACGTGTGATTGGGTGGCCTGGATGACACTGACTGAGCACATACTCGGACCAGCCACTGCTCAAAGGCTTCTGCGTTTTACCTTCCTTTCACGTGGAACAGGCTGTGGAATGAGGTCGGGAGGCTTTGTGGAGAATGTGGACATTGGGGTGGGCCTTCCAAACTCCCCCGAGGACCTTGATTTTGTGCAGCACACTCTAACAGTGTGCTCTTCTCGGGACGCTTTGGAATTGGAAAAGATGTCAGGAGGCCACCTCATCCTGGAACTTGCATCACAAAAACCATGCTGTGTTAGCTCCTGCCCTCAAGGGACTCCCAATTGATACATGTCACCCAGTCAGACGAGGAGAGCCACGAGTTCAAGACCAGAGGGAGCAAATGGCTGATTTAATGGATTTTCTGCTCCCAGATCAGCTGAGGTGTCCCTGGGCCCTTCCCAGAGGGAAATGTGTGCTAAATCCTAGAACACCTGCACTTGGCTTCTTAGAGAGGAAGCCTGCATGTAGTTAATGTCCTGGAAGTCTAACTTTAGATTTTGCTGACGCTTAACCAGCACCGAGGGGTGTTTTTAAACACTAGGTAAATAAGAAACTCTTCAGCAGAGAACCTTCCATTAGTTCTTGGGTGCAGTGTAACTCTTTGCGCTTGCCTGCCCACATCGTTTAGAACCCAGAGAGAGACAGCCTCACGTGCTCCCATGGACCTGACTCCCACCTCTCCCTGGCACAGACTGGCTTATGTCACTGTCGCCCTGAGCCAGGGAGGGGGAGAAACCCGGGGTCGATGGGCCCGCCTCTGAAATACCAGCCTCCCTGTGATTGGCTACAAGGCCTCCGGCCTGGCCGTGGGTTGGTCATCACTGCGGGCTTGAAAGGGGGCTGAGAGCGGTGAGCGCTCAGACGGACGGTGGCCCGCCATCCGACGGCGTCTCGGCAAGCCCGAGACGCGCCCCAGCCCGCCATGGCCCGACTCCTCCGGGCATCCTGCCTTCTCTCCCTGCTCCTGGCTGGCTTCGTGCCGCCCAGCCGGGCACAAGAGAAGTCGAAGGTTAGTGAGTGTCCCGAGTTGGGGGGCCGGGAGAAGGTAGAGAGCTAGGCGTCTATCGCTAGTGGCGGGTCACCCCCCATTCTTGGATTCTCCCGGACCAGAAGGGCTACTCTGCTTGCTTCCTCCGAGCCTCCCCCACCATCCCGCGGGTGTCGGTCCCTTCTCAGTTGCCCCTCTCAGAGACTTGGGTGCTCCGGGGCGCAGAATGAGAGGGCTCGTTCTCGCTACCTGGGGCACCTTGTTACACCCATGCCACGCAGGTGCCGAGCTGCTCCCCTCCCCGAGGCTGCCTGGAGGGGCCAGGGGCACCGAAACGGGCGCGGAGACCTGGCGTCTGCGTGCTGCGCAGGTTCATGAGACCGCCAGGCTAGACGCAAGGGAAGAAGGGGAAGGCAGTTGGGTAGAATTGCACGATAAGGAGCTCTTCTAAGTCCAAGAATTAACGCAGGTGCAAATGCCCACCTCGATCCAGGCCTCTGGTTAAGGAGGCAAAGGTCGGTGACAGAAGGCGCCCTGAGCTAGCACAGGGTCTTGCCTGGATGGCAACCCTTCTCTGGGCCTCAGCGTTCCATCTGCACGAAGGGTGTGGTAGGAGCACAGAGAAGCTGAAGACTGCGGAGGGGATGCTTGGGAAAGCTGAGAAATTCACGGGGTATTTTCTGAAGTTTCTGCTCCCGGTCGCCTTTACCCACCACCCAGTGCCCGCCTTGGTCAGGGCAAACCTGGCAGTTGGAGACAGCTACAGACTGCCAGCTTAGAAGGGAGGCAGCATTACCCAGGGCCCAGTCCACCCCCAGGAACCCTTAGCTAGAGCCGGGTTCTGGGGAGGGGACGAGGGAACGTGTCTCTCTCTTTAGACAGTATGCTGCAGGCTAGGTCTCTGGACCTCTCCTCTTCCCCAGGGCAGGCAGGTGGAAGTGGGAGTGCTGGGGTGGAAGACTCACCCTACAGCTCACAGGTGTAAGCTCCTCACGCTTTGATATTCTGGTTTTCTTCGCCTTCTGGGTCTTTTGGGTGAGCGTTTGAGTCCCGGATACCCCTACCAAAATGCTCCACTGCTCAGGAAACCCATTCCCTGCCCAGGCTTCTTTCCGTCCTCAGTGGAAACCCCATTCTTAACATCCCCTTCTGCCTGCTGCTCCTCGGAATGAGATGCCACTTTCTCCAAGATGCTTCTGTTTTATCCAGCCCTGAATATGCCCCAACTCAGGATGGAGGTGGCCACTTCTTCCCCACCGCAGAGATGGGACTGAGTGCTAAGACTGGGGTGTGGGGTAGAAATGGAGGCGGGGGAGACTGTGGGCAGGTCAGCACTATGGATTAAGTCCTACTTATTGAGTTTGGGGAGTCAGAGACTTGGGCCCTGCCTCTAGACGGTATCTTGCGGATCATAACTGTGTGTTCTCTGCAGGACTCTGGGGAGATAGTTGGATTTAGAAAAAAAAACAGGATGGAGCAATTGAGACAAGTTTTAGTGAGAGCATGAGGTTTGATCATATCAGATGCAACCTAGGCAATTAATACAACCCAGTAACCTGTTGGCCTGCTAACCTTGAGGTCAGCAGTGTGAAGCCCCCAGGGGCTCCACAGAACGAGGCTTCCTACTGCTGTGAAGAGTCAGTCTCAGACACCCACAGGGGCAGTGCACCCTGTCCTATAGGGTTGCTATGAGACAGAAATGACTCCAGGGCAGGGAGGGGCTTTTTGTGTTGTGTTGTGTTGTGTTGTTTTATGAAAGGGGACTCCATCTCTCCTCCACGGTTCTTCAAGAGTTGAGATATACCCCTGGGTTGTAGGACCAACCACTCTCCTTCCCTTATCTTGGGGCAAAGGGATTGGGTCAGGGGCCACCAGTGGGTAGGGAACGCAACTGGGCCAAATGTGAGTCAGCTGTGAACCAGTGTCTGCCCCCTCCTCGTTCAAAGGGAGAGGCCGAGGAACAAACAGAAAAGTAGAATCCTCTTACTGTGCCCCTCTCCAGTCCAGCTAAAGGTTGCTTAGCCTGCCATCTCCCCTCCCCCTCGCCCATCTCCCCCATCCTTATTCTACAAAAGGACGTGGCAGGAGCTTGAGAGAGACGACAGCTGCTGACGTGCAGGGGATCCTAGTAACAGCTGGTTTCTAGGTGACTAAATCAGGCAGAGAGGATCATGGGACTGCAGGCTGACAGAGCTGACGGGCCCTTGTGGCTGTATTGAATCTGACAGGAACAGCGCCCTCACACAGTAAGTGGCCTGTCAGGCCCAGCACTCAGGTCCCCACCTCCCTCGACAGCATTGTATCAGTGAGGTGGCAGAAGGGAAGAGAAAGATCCAAGGACAGCAAGCCATCCGAAGTATCCCCTCTTATCCAACGGTGGCAGGACAGAAAACCCCAAACTCCCCCTCCCTTCTCTCCAGGAGCCTAGCAGAGGGCAGGGGCTCCTTAAGGACTGAGCTAGCTGCAGGCCTTAGTGGTGGGCCCGAGCCACAACTTCCTCGCAGTCTGACCGCACGCAGCGCTAGCCTTCCTGGCCCCAACCGAACGCACACAAGCCTTACCACTCCCCCTGTTCTGGAGACACCTGCCTGGCACATCTTCTTCCTCCTCATTCTGACACAAAACATCACAGGCCTCTTCATGTACTATAGCCACAGACAGAGTCATCCCTTGCCTTACAGACTGCCTTTCAAAGAGATGCTCGAGGCTGTTTGATCCGTCCATAGTCTCACAACTCTGGGAGGCAGGTGAAAGCGTCTTCACTTGTCAACCGCCCAGAGAGGGAAGGTGACTCACCCAGGACCACACAGCCAGCAGAGGCAAGAACTGAAACCTCCTGAGAATGGCTTCTTTCCCCACTCACTCGATGCCCAGAAACTGGTCCTCCTGGGTTTACAAGCAATGACTCTTTGGACAACCTCTTGGGTATTTTTCACTCCATTTCCGGAGTTCAGTTTTGGATCCGGGAGGCAGTGGGGAGGTGTTTGGAACGGCCTGCAATCCGGCTGCTGGACCTCGGCAGCCAGCTGAGCTGTGCTTATTTGTGTCCTGGTTTGTTTGCATTTTGAGGCTGACTTGACACTTGGCCCGCTGGCAGGAAGGACATTGGGTTTAGGTCTGGGGCCTGTTTCCAACATCCACTCAATCATGCATGGGTGGAAAATCAGACTCATGAAAAGCAGTAGTTTGCACGGGAGCCAACAAGACAGTGTGTAACTGCTGGTTACAGGTGTTACCCAGGCTGGCCACACCTAGGCTGCTTCCTTCTCCCAGTTACGCTCAGGTACCTCACCGTACCAGGAAGTCGGTCAGGATTTGATGGGAAGAGATGGGTTGAATTAGCTGTTCACACTACAGCCCCCTGCCCCCGTCTTCTCCTGGCCTACAATGATGCTCTTTCTTGTCTGCCCATCTGTCATAGGCTGTCAGGGCCAGAAAGGACCCTGAAGCTCACCTAGTGCTGTGGCTCTGAACACTTTCTTCTCCCACCACAAGCCCCCTGCTACAGTGACACCCTCAGGAGTCAACCCAGAACTTGGCCATCTGTTGCAGTAGCCCAGTGGCTAGCATCCCCCTCCTCCCCCGACATGCGGCATTGGGAGAGTGGCATCAGCAAGCCGTTGCGGTTAAGAGCAGGCCCAGCGCAAGGCACAGCCTTTATAGAGCAGGAAGCTGAGGCCTGGGGCTGTGTGGCCCGCTCAGTCACACAAGGACTTGGTGGCAGAGCTGGAAATGGGATCCAGAGCTTCCAACGCACCCCCAGGTCACCGTGCACTGAGCCTCCTTGTTCTAGAGGGTGAGGGTGCAGCAGCAGAGGGGCCGAGAGGCGGCGGCAGTGAGCATCACAACCACCACTCGTCCCCACAGAGCATCTCTCATATGCAAGACACCCTTGCTTGACCTTTACTATCATCTTTCATCCCCACCCAACCTGGCTGCCCTCCTCCTGCCCGAGGTTAGGACAACAGTCCATCGTTCTAATGCCCCAGAGTCAAAGCCTCGGGGTCACCGCTTGCCAGACCGCTGTTTCTTCTGTTCGGTTCACCCTTCCCAGTGGTCTAACTCAGGCCCTCATTTGCCTTGACGGCCGCCACCCAGCCAGTGTCCAGCCCGCCCAAGGACCTGCTAAATGCTTGTCAAATGACATTGTGACGTGGAAGTACCTATGATAGTACGTAATTATCCTTAGAACCCATCATGAAGCCTTCTGAGGGCTCTTACAACCATTACTGTCTGCAGGGGATTAGAGACCTGGGCTCTCATGTAGGCTCAATGCTCACTGTGGTCTTGGGCAAATCCCCCTCCCAGCTGGGATGTTGCATGAAGTTGGGAATAGAGAAGCCCACGTTCCTGCCATCTCTCATTGCCCAATGCCTGTCTTCTGTTCCAGACGGACTGTCATGGCGGCATAAGCAGCACCATCTACGAGTATGGCGCCCTCACCCTTGACGGGGAGGAGTACGTCCCCTTTAAGAAGTATGCTGGCAAATACATCCTCTTTGTCAACGTGGCCAGCTACTGAGGCCTGACGGGCCAGTACGTTGGTAAGAAGCCCCTCTGCTCTTATTAGGGTCTGTTGGGATATTAGCATCTTAGGAGCTTCTCTGCTGTCAAAGTGATCATTAGATTATGAACCCTCTATGTCAGTTTTGTGAAAATTAGTAAACCTGAGATCAATAGCCTTTTGATATATTCTAGGAGATTCCCTAAAGGCAGAGGGTAAGGGAAATTGGGCCTGTGCCTAGTGTCCTTCGACTGCAAGAAGTGGTCAATGAAGGTCCATCTGGCTGAGCTTCTTTCCTCAGCCCAACGGGCTTTCTCCTGACCCTCTCTAGGAAGCATGGGATTGACAGAGGACTCTGTGTGTGTGTGTGTGTGTTGAGGGTGGGGTCCTGGGGAGGCGGTAGTGGGTAGTATGTCTCAAGGCCACTGTAAAATAAATGTTGAAGATGATCTAGTTCAGTGTAGATAAGAAACAAAGATTCCACTGGAGACCCCTTCACCAGGGTTAGAAAGCTGCTATTGGCTGAGCCAGGTGTTTATGTTTAGCCCGGGTCTCCTTACCCCTGTATGCTGCCTCCTGCCCCTATAGCTGGGAGAGAGTAGAGGGCATGAGGGGACAAGCAGGCTGAAGGCATCTGACAGCACCCAGGGCAGGACTCTGGCCTGAGCTGTCTGCAGCTGGCAGACAAGGGGCAGGGAAGGACAGGGCAGGGCAGGGCAGCCTCGCCCTGCACCATCAGCAGCCAGTAGCAGGCAGTTCCTGGAGGATGTGGGATGGTATGTGGCTGTGAGACCCAGTGGGCCCAGGGTGCTCGGGGACAGAATGCTTCTGTCCAGCCTTTGGCATAGAAATGGGCCGGGAACAGATGTTCCCAAGAGCCTCATGTCCGCTGAGCAAGTGGGAGGGCCGGGCCAGGGCCAGCCATGGGGTCCTTGGTAGGGTTTCTGCCCACACCAGGGAGGCCCTCTGCCTTCTGCCTGGAGTGAAGGCTCCAACGCCAGGAAGTGAACTCGAGAGCCTGGGCTGGGCTCAACAGACCCGAGCCCTGCACCCCATCAGTCCAGGGGGTGGGCAGCTCTGCTACATGGGGATGGACCTTTCTTCTCCTCAGATCCCCTAGTCCACTCAGATGTCAGGATGGCATCACATCAGGAGGATGGGACTGGAACTCCAGCTCCTCCATCACGGACTCATGGGGGACCCCGGGCAGGTCCCTCCCTCTCCAGGCCTCAGTATTGTTAGCTGTCTAGTGGGAGGGCAGATGGAGCGGTGTGACCGAGGCAGGGCTCCCTGCTCGCCTGCCCCATCTCTGCCTTCTCTCGCTGGCACAGAACTGAATGCACTACAAGAGGAGCTTGAACCATTTGGTCTGGTCATCCTGGGCTTCCCCAGCAACCAATTTGGAAAACAGGAACCAGGCGAGAACTCCGAGATCCTAGCCAGCCTCAAGTGAGTCCTCACTCAATGCCCTGGGAGAGCCCCAGCACAGCCCACCTGCAGCCATCTCATTTCTTGTCCCCTGGTCATGGGGGACATTTGTTGGTGCTACTCTCCCTTCCAGGAATGCCATGCAGTAGAATGCGGGCAAGGGAGGGCAGATGCACCATGTGGTGGTGGTGGAAAGGTTACAGGGGGCGGGAGATGGGAGATGCTGACAAGGGGCTTCTAGCTAGAAAAAGATTGCAGGCCACACGTTATGCTGTAGCTTACTCAACATTCAGTAGCCTCCCCGCATCTCCTATGGAAGAAAACCCCAAACCCCCACTCATCCCTAAACCCTCATCCCTGGCCCCACCTCCTTGGGACCCACATAAGACTATTCCTTGCAGGTATGTCCGCCCAGGTGGGGGCTTTGTCCCTAATTTCCAACTCTTTGAGAAAGGAGATGTGAACGGGGAGAAGGAGCAGAAGTTCTACACTTTCCTGAAGGTGAGTGAGCAGTGCTGGGCAGGTGCCTTGGGCAGGTGGCAGTCGGGGCTGGTCAGGAAAGCCACAGCTCTGGAAGCCAGGCCCTGCAGAGGGATCCTGCCCCGCACAGGTGTGTTCCCTCTCACCTGAGGGCTTGGCAGATGAGGCCCACAGGGCCAGGGGCACACAATCTGTCAGGGCTGGGTGAGAGACTGGGAGGCAGGTTTCTCATGTTTAACAGACCTGCACTCTGCGCCCCATTGATCTACTCTGTGAAGGGAGCCTAGGGAGGTGGAGGGAAGGGGGAGGGGTTGGCACCCACCCCCACTCACAGCACCCTCTCATAGCCAAGCAGGGTTGACACTTCTCTCTCTCCTGCTCCAGAACTCCTGCCCACCCACCTCAGAGCTTGTGGGCTCACCTGGCCGCCTATTCTGGGAGCCCATGAAGATCCATGACATCCGCTGGAACTTCGAGAAGTTCCTGGTGGGGCCAGATGGTCTGCCCATCATGCGCTGGTACCACCGGACCACGGTCAACACAGTCAAGCTGGACATCCTGCACTACATGAGGCAGCGGGCAGAGCTGAGGGCCCAGAAGAAGTAACTGCTGCCTACCCTAGCCCCCAGGTCTACCTTGCAGGGGCCGAGGGCTCTGTTCAGGAAGGACTCCACCCCCACCCCCACCATAGACCCCTCCAATGATGAAGGCCCCTAACGCAGATGTGTGCACCCATGGTGCGTGTGAAGGTCTCGGCCATGTCTACTGAACGGCTACCCAGGGCTGTGCACAATGTGTGCCCACAGCTGTGTGGAGGGAACCACACTCCTTGCTCTGTAAGCCCCACCCACCATTCATTTGCATCCACGGAGCTTCTAACCCGGACCTCAGCCTTGAAGTTACTGCCTCCCACTGCCTCCAAATGGCACTCCCACTGGGTGTCCCCCAAGTCCCCGGCTCTACTACCCATCTCAGCACTCCCTCCACCTTCCTGAAGGGCCCTCCCAAGCCTCTGCCCCCACCCTGTAGGACTCCCCGACAGTAGCCAAGACCGGGCCAAGAGCGGGGCTGTGTCCCGTGCAGAGGGAGCATCTCCATGAGGGTGAGGCCCGAAGCCCCCGTGGCGGACCTCGACCCGAGCCTGCCCCTGGGCCTGCCTTCGTGCATTCAGGCGAGGCCCTGAGCAGGGATGCCCCCGCTGCTTCCGCGGAGCACATGCCCTCGCTCTCCCTCACCCCGTCCACTAGCGCGGGACCCATGCCCGCCTGTCCAGTAAATGCCTTTCTGCAGCACTGAGCCCATTGTGTCCTTCTTTGTCGGTGGAGGGAAAGGGAGGCAGGGCAGGGGAAAGATACGCAACAGTGTGGGGTCTCCCTCGGCCAGCTCAAGTGCCCCTGCACATCCCGGGTTGGTGAAACCAGCCTATGCCTACCACTTTTCTTCCTGCCCTTCTCCGAGCTGGCTGGGGCTGCTGTGGCGACCCACTTGACAGGTGAGGAAGCTCAGGCTCCAAAAAGACCAGGCTTTGCCCCAAGTCTCCCGATGAATGAGCAGCAGGCAGTGCTGAAGCCTTCAACCCAGGCCCTGACTCCCAGCCCTGACTCCCTTCCACCACGAGGGTCTCTCCTTGCTCAGGGTGACCAAGACAAGGCCCCTGGGGATTTTAGCATCGAGTACTGGTGACCAGGAAGGGGCGGGGCCCGTGAGCCAGGGCATTGAAAGAACACACAGTTTGTCTTCAACCTGTATTCTGTTCAAGAACATCGTGCAAACAGCTGCCAGGGGCAGAGAGCCACCCCTGTCTGGGCCCCAGGCATCACGCGCCTTCCGCTGTGGCCTGGGCAGCACTGATGGGGATGACTGGGCAGAGGTGGAGAGGGATGCCCCCTTCCTGGGGCAGCCTGTTATTCTAGGCTCCCAGAGGGGCCCTCTTCCCACAGTTCCTCCTGGAGGGGAGGGGAGGGAAGGGGCTGGGCGCAGGGCACCGGCCTGCTGTAGAACTCAAGCAAAAAGTTAACTCTAAACCTGGATGTGCACCTGGAGGGGCTGGAAGCACTTGGGGGGAGTTTTGAAAAGATGGGTGTCTTGGCTGCCCCCCTCTCTTGAGATCGGCTCCCAGAGTAAAGGATCGAGGCCCCCTCTTTCCACGTGGAGCCTGGAGAGGAAGTTCTTCCCATTGTGGTTCTGAACGCAGGGACCCAGAGTCTCCCGAATCTGTCAGCTGTTCAGGCTGGAGATGACTCCCACCGGCGGCCTGTCCAGCAAGGCTCTGGTCCCATGGGGTGCGTGGCCTCTAGGTTTGCATCAATCCGAGGTCAGCCAGTTTTTGACATGCTCTTGCTTCACTGCGGGCCTTCGCGGTCCATTTTTGAGGGCTCTGGAAAAACAGAAAGTGTGAGAACCTGAAGGTTCTGGGGCCCAGCAGGCTTCAGTCATACACAGCCCCAACACAACTGCAGTGTCAATGGGCCCGGGCTCCTGAGCTTCGCGTCCCTCCTGGAGGCCCTGGGCAGCCCTGGGCAGCGGGCTCCTGCACCTGCAGGGTCACTAGGAGTCAGGGCTGACTGACTCGAGGGCAGCAGTGTGTGTACTGGGGGTGGCGGGTGGGGGTGGGGTGTACAGGAGGCAACCCAAAACGAAACCAAAAAACCCGCAGTGCCAATAAGTCGGGGCTGACTCAGTGACCTGGTGGGGTCGTTTTTTGTGGCTGCAGCTCTTTAAGGGAGCAGAGAGCCCCGTCTGTGTCCCAAGGAACACCTGGTGATTTTGAACTGCTTATCTTGTAGTTAGGAGCCCAATGTATAATCACTATACCACCAAGGCTCATGTGAGAAGTTTGAAAAGAAGAGAGAACCTCAAATCACACAAGCAGGAAGAGGTGGGCCCCTGTCAGGCTGGCTCCAGGACCCAAGGAGTGGGGCAGTTGTGGGGGTAGGGAACAACTGCTTGGCCACTGTGATGTGGAATTCTGTGTGTCAATCTGGCTCAGCTATAGCTTGTAGCTCTTTGGCCAAACACTTGTCTATTACTGTTTCAGACTGTCCGTTAATGTTAGCTGTCCTCGCTTTCCATTACCTCAGGGAATGTAGTAATCAATCAAGGGAGGTCCTGCCTCCAGAACTGAGATGCAGTCAATCAATATGGGCCTTCTAGCCACCAAGTCTTAATGTGTCTATTAGGAACTCTGGGCACTGCAGTCTGGAAGGAGTACTCTGCTATGTTACTGGCCAGGACACTAAATTGTCACCTTAGCAGACAGACATATGGACCAAGTCACCCGCCCTTGGTTTCCTTGGGGTATGGTGTGCTGAGAGCCACAGACCACGCCTCTGGCAAAGCCCTACGCGCCGTCTCAGAAGCAGGACTAGAGAAAACCCAGGGCCATAAGGGAGCAATACCCGCAGCTGCTCACGGCCGAGGTCTGCGCTGCAGCACAGAGACCATGGGGCAGAGCAGAGGGAGCCAGGCTGGGGCCAGAGGCCCAGGCAAGCAGGCCATGGGGCAGAGTTGAGGTGCAACATGGAGACTAAGACTTGTGCCAGAACACTGGGCTGGGCTCTCTGGCCCATGGAGGCAGAGGCCAAGAGGCCACCTGGCTGAGGGGGTGAGGAAAAGGCAGACTTGTCTGCTGGCTGAGGGGAAGCACTGGGGTGGGCCAATGGCAGTGTCTTCCCTGTTCAATGATCCTGCCCTGGGGGAGCCTGCTAACTAATAAACTCACTCCCTCTGAGTACTGTCTGTGTGGACACTGAGGGCTGGTGTCAATAAAGAAGGATGGGGGGGGAGGGGGTGTGAGGCGAGTCTGAACTCTGCCTCATGAAAACAGGGAAGCCAGAGGAGGTCAAAATGTGGCCCCAGGCCAGGTCTTGACAGAACTTAAAATAGGAATGTTGGCAGAATGATCTTGGGCTCTTGGACCACAAACCTCCAGGTGTCTCCAGTCTATTGACCCTTCTATGGACCTCAGACCTGCCTGTCCCCTATACTTGTCTGAAGCAATTCCTTGAAATCAACCCATCACTCCCCATACACAGGTATCTGCACAGACACGCACGCACACCCTCATATACATACACAGCCTGACCCCACAGCTTTGGCCTTCTCTCCTGCCCTGCCTGGCTCTCTCCCGGGCCTGCAGGTCATCCACTTGCCTCCACTGCCTCCCACTTGTCATTTCTTCCCAAAATGTGCCCTCCACCCCGTCTCACCTCTTCCCCCAGGTACATGCTGCTCATCCCAAGGGGTCAGCAGGAGCACCCCTGCCTCCTAGAGAGCTGCCTGCAATCGGTCCAGGCCAGGCGGCTGTGTCATCTATGCACACTCTTGTTCTTCTTCTCTCAGGCACTCCCCTGAGAGTAAGCGTATGTTCATGTGTGTGACATTTTAATGATGCTCAGCCCCGCGGGGTAGGGACCATATCCGTGTCTGCCTCTGCTCTTTTTGGTGCCCCCAGCCCCTAGCACAGCCTGCCATTTAGACAACCGACCATGATAAACAAAAGAACGAAGGTTCAGTCCTTTAGCCCCCCCAGTCCCTATCACTCTCCTTTCACCAGGGCTTCAGACGGCTGGGCCTCTCCCTCTGCCAAGATCAGGAAGTCACAACATCACTTCCAACCGGGGCAACCCTCGCAGAGAAGCTCTGCCCCCTGGAAGCGGGGGCTGCAGAGCCCAGGGAAACACGCTCACCTGGCTCCACAGGCCTGGCTGCTGGCGGGTCCGTTACTTGGGAGCTCTGATTCCGTATGCCTCCATGCAGCGGACGCCAGGTGTATTCCGGCTGGAACAACATTGGTGCTCAGTGACCAATAATTACACCCGAAAATCGATAGCAGCTATTGTGCAGCCCAAACCCAAATCCACCCACCACCGTGGTGTGCAAATTCCGACTCAGCGACCCTGCGGGTGGAAGAGACCTGCTTCAGGGGGGTTTGAGTCTGCAGATCTTTTGGGGAGCTGACAGCCTCATCTTTTTCCTTGGAAGTGGCTGGTGTTTGAACCTCTGACGTGGAGGTTAGCAGCCCAACGCTTGACCCACTGTGCCACCCGGGCTCCTTAGCTACCATGCGAAGATGGCATGAAATGGACACTAGCCAGTGTAATTCCCACAACCTATCTGCTGTCTTGTGATGCTGGAAGCTATGCCACTAGAATTCCAAACACTAACAGGGTCACCCATGGTGGACCCTACAGCTGTCAGTCTCAGCTGAGGAACAAAGGCCTGGGATTCACTTCCCAAGGTTAGCCCATGAGAAGCCTACACGGTCTCACACAGCACTGGAAGATGCGGCCCTAGGTTGGAAGGTTCCTGGATCACACAGCGGACACAGGCCACCAATGATCAGCACCTGCCCAGGCAGCACATCATTGTGATGTGCGCGGGGCCACCATCCGTACCAGTCTGCAGCTTATCCTTCCCACTTCACAGGGGAGGGGACTGAGGCGCAGAGGGTTCATTAACACGCTGACGGTCATCTGGCCAGTACAGTGGCAAAGCTTACGCTTGAACCCAGGTCTCGCTAACTCCAGAGCCAGTCTTTTAAACCCCAGACCACACCCCAGTGTATACAGAAAGGTGACAGGTGATAGGGGCCAAACAGGTGACTGCTGTACTTCGCCAGGTGAGGGCTGGGCAATGGCTGTGCCAGGGCTGTGGCAGACAGGCTGCAGAGCAAGAGGCCAGCGACAGCAGCTCTATGGGGAAGGACCATGAGAAGAGACGGAAGATGGAGGGAGGGGGCACAGGGGAGCAGAGGAGAGGGAGCAAAGTAGAAAGGAAGTGAGAGAGAGAGAGAAGAGTGAGGATCTGACACCTGCCTCCATGGGCGAGGATACAAAACACCAAACCCACCCTGCCTCCCCAGGCCTCGGAGGGCACCTGCTGCTGCCCTTCAGCAGCAATGCTGACCGGCTCTGGGCGGGAGCAGCCTGGCCCCTGGGACGGCAGGCCAGGCCAAGGACCGTCCTCACACCGGCCTCTTCAGGAAAGCATTCCGAAGCCCCTGGGGAGCAACGGGCAGACTCACCATGTGGAAGAAGCGTGAATTGGGATGGGGGGGTGGGTGGTCCATGGCTAGGGGGGGCGGAGGGTAGCGGATCTGGGACCAGTCTTCGTAGGCGTGGTGCGGCACCATGGCTGGCATGGGGGGGTAGGCGTATGGGTAGGCCCCACAGAGGTGCTCCGGGTGGGGTTCCACGTGGTAGCGATCTCCCGAGGACTGCAAAAAAAACCAGCGTCTCACTCTCGTTCCCTGCCAACACCTGCCATCCCCGTTTACACACTCTGGTCTCTGAAGGTTGGCAGATGGGCAAGGAAGTCTGGTCCATGAGCACACGAGGTTGGTACGTGGGCACAGAGCTGGTGTATGGGCATAAAAGCCTGGAACATGGCGATGGAAGGCAGGCACAGAGGCACAGTAGGATGAGTCAATGAGCAGAGGGCTGGGCATGGGTAAGGAAGACAGGTCACTGGGCAGGAAGTTGGGACCTTGGCTGATAGCACAGGCAGGAAGGGTGGCCCACAGGCAGGCAGGCAGCAGTACTTAGGACAAGTCGAATGTCCTGAGCACTTATTCTGCGCCCAGAAGTGCACTACCACATACAGTGCACAGCACAGAGCAGGGCCTCTGAGCAAAGACCGTTTCTTCCCTCCCTCGGCAGAGCTACAGAAGGTGAGACAGCTTCCCGCCTCGAGCCTCACCTTCGCTTTTCTCTTCTGCTGTTTGAGGGCTTCTTTCACCTTCTCCTCATCTTTGAAAGCCTTTACCTGAGAGAAGGAGGGAGGGGGAGGAGACGGTTGGCACAGGGATCCTGGCAGAGCCTGGATCTGCGCAGCCCCGAGGATGGGCCCGGCTCTTCACTATGGACGGCCTGCTTATCTTGGGTGATTTGACCAAGGTGAGTTTCTTGGCCTAGGGCAAATATTTAAGTGGCTCATTGTGGACTTCAGCACGGATGAAAGGCTGCCAGAGATGGAAGGTATTACAGGGCATTAAAGCTAGGGCATTCCATCTTCTCACTGTGTAGTCAGAGAAAGGAAGGCTCGCCAAGGCCACACAGTACGCTGGAAGCAGAACCAGTCGGTGAGCGTCCCCGCCTCCCCAGGACCTGTCCACCAGACTCGTGAGGATGGACCAACTTCCCTGTCCATGGTCTAGTTGCTTTCACCTGGGCATTCAACAGGGCGACCTGGGCTTGCAGTTTCTCCACCTGCCTCTTCAGCTCTTCCTTCTCCTCATTCATGCGCTCTCGGTCACTGCGCTCCCGCTGGAAATCCTCCTCAAAGATCTTCACCTGGAGGGGCGGGCAGGGAGGGAGCAGAGGCTCAGGCCCCTCAGGTCCTGCGTGCGTGCCTCCTGCTGGATGCCCCACACACTGGTTTCTTCGGGCCTCAGCGTGACGGGGGCGTGGGGCGGGCCCAAGTCCAGCCCCCCAATCCCCCAACTTCAGTAAGGGAGTTCTGCCGCCCTCCCTCATGTTCTGGCCTTCAAAGTAGGGCTTTATTTGCAGAAAGAAGCCAAGACTGAAAAAGAAAGGTTGAAAATCATCTGCCAGTTCAGGTCCTTAA